GAAGTCTTCTTTGTCTTGCTCCTAATTTTAGAGATAAAGCATTCATTCTTTCATCATGAAATGTATTGGCTGTAGGTTTTTCCTTGGTAACTTTAAGGGGCTGAAGAATTTTTCTTCTACTCTTCTCTTGCTGGCTGTTTTTTCATAACTTGATGTCAAATTCTGGCTAATGCTTTCTTAGTATCTACTTGAGATGATTACACAGTTTTTTCCAAAGCTAAATTGTTAATTTAGTACATTACACTGATTTCTGAGGGTTGAATCCATCTTGAATTTCAAGAATGAATCAGGACATAATCCATTATCCTTTTTGTATATCACTGAATCTGATTTGTTAATATTTCTTTTAGATTCTTCATATCTATGGTCACAGAAGATATTGGCCTGTAGATTTTTTTCCACTTTGTACTGCTTTTTATCTAATTTGGATATTATGGTTATACTGGTCTCATAAAATAAGATGGGGTACAATCATCCTTATTTTATAAAAAAGACTATTTCTTTCCTTAGTAGAATTCACTATTGAATCCATCTATACCCAGATTTTATTTTTTGAAAAAGCTTCAGATGCATATTTGATTGTTTTTAAAAAATAATTTACTTGTTTTTTTTCTAACATTTTTCTTTTTTTTTTTTTTTTTGACAATCTTGACATAATTAGGGTAGAAAGATTCAAGTACTACAGGAAGATGGGTAAGACAATTAGTTACGTATTGTTTCCTTAATGTATCTGATGTAAAAGGAGATTTTAAGGGAGAAGCCCCACCCAGTCTCCCTCCCACCCCAGGTGGGGCATGCTCCGAGGGTCTTGCCCAAGCGGTTTTGATAGTTCAACAGTTCTAAATTGCTGCCACTCTCACCACTCCAAGCACGATGCATTTGTTGGAGATTCCACTGATCGACATAGTCCATCATAGCATCTCTGCCCAGTATTTTCACTGCCAACATGTAGCTGAGGTGACTGATTGACTTGTTCTGTCCTCTGTAGTTTGATGGTTAGTGTTCTGAGTCCGAAAGCTTGATTGGGGGGATCCCCAAAAAAACTTTGTCTGAGGTGTTCCCAGACCAGATTCTATTTGAAAGGCAGAGTAACAAAGAGAGGAAGATTGTCTATCTGTTGATTAACTTCCCAAATGGCCACTATAGCTGGAGAACCAGGCCAAAGGAGCCAGGAATTCCATGTAGGTGGCAGGGACCTAAGTATTCACGCCAACTCCTACTGTTTTCCCAGGAGCATTAGCAGGGAGCCAGATCAGAAGTGGAGCAGACTCCTTGTGCTTATCCTGGACTTCAGTGTTACAGGCCATGGCTTAACTTGCTGCACCACAGTGCTGGCCCCTCACAAACTGAATTTCTTTAGTCACTTGATATACTTTGACTCTTGATCCTTACTCAGGCTATGCAGGATATGCAATGAGAGAGTATCTTATCTGTTAGATAGTGACAGTGAGCCACAGCTCCCAGTCCAGGCATGTGATCACAAAAGCAAACAACTAATCATCCATAGTCTAATACATGACTAAGCTAGGATGTTAGGCACACTTGGTGTAGTAAATTGAATTTTAAATGAAAATATCTTAATTTTTGCTAAAAGGTAACTTTTAAGATATTTTATTTATTTTACAGTCAGACTTACGGGAAGAAGCAGAAAGATCTTTGATCTGCTGGTTCACTTTCCAGATGGCCACAAGAACCAGTGCTGGGCCACGCAGAAGCCAGGATCCAGGAACTCCATCCAGGAATACCATGTGAGTGCCAGGGGCACAAATAATTAAGCCACCTTCTGTTGCTTTTCCCAGGCCATGAGCAGAGAACTATACCAGAAACAGAGCAACCAGGACACAAATAGGTGCCCAGATGGGATATCGATATTCAGGTGGTACCTGTACTCACTATATCATACCACCCCAAAAGAACTATTTAAAAATAATTATTTATTCATGTGAAGAGTGGGGGGAAGGGGAGAGAAAGATCTTCCATCTCAAGGTTTATCCCAAAAAAGCCACAACAAAGCCAGGAGCCTAGAACTCCACCCAGGTTTCCCACATGGTCAGCAGTGGCCCAACTTTTTTGGCCATCTTCCGCTGCTTTCCCAGGTAAATCAACAGGGAGATGGAGCCGAAGTAGTGCAGCTAGGCCTTGGAGACAGCTTCACTCATTGTGATAATATCTAAACTTAATTTATGTATTATTTGCAAGGGAGGGAAGAAAGAGTGAACAGGAGACAGAGGGAGTGTGTGCTCTGATCCACTGGCTAATTCCCACAAAGCCTGCAATGACTGGGGCCGCGGCAGAGAACTGACAGCCAACTGCTTGAAGCATTACTGATGTCTCCCATAGTGTGCGTGACCTGAAAGCTGGGATCAGAAGCATTGGCAGGACTCAAGCTCAGGCGCTCCAACTCGGGATGATGCTATCACAACCAGCAGCTCAACCACTCTGATGGACACCGGCCTGGACTTCAAATACTGCACCGCAACTTGGCATGCAGGGAGCAGTGTCTCTGGAGGGTTGTTTCAGCCTGTTTCTTCTTGTGTGACTTGATATCTTGCAAAGAATTGGTCCTTTTTATCTAGGTTATTGACTTTACAGGCCAGGATTGTTTGTAGTATTTTCTTATTAACCTTTTCCTGTCCATGAAATCAGTAGTGATGAGCCCTCTTTCATTCTGGATATTGACTATCATTTTCTCTTCATTAGTTAGAATCACCCTTTATCCCATTTATCATTGATCTTTACAGAGAATCAATTTTGATTTCATTGATTCTTACTCATTTTTCTCTGCTTTAAATCTCATTTTGTGGGACCGGTGTGGTAGCCTAGTAGCTGAAGTCCTTGCCTTGCACATGCTGGGATCCCATATGGCAGATGAACTAAGACTTGAATCAAGCATTCCAATATGAGATACAAGGTCCCAAGAAGTGAATTAAAGCTGTGTAAAATATCTGCCCTATCTTAAAAAAAAAATGTATTCATTTTAAAGGTAGAGTTAGACACAGACACAGAAGAGAGATTTTCCATCTGTTGGTTCACTTCACTCCCCAAACGACCTCAATGGCCAGGGCTGGACCAGACCAAAGACAGGAGACAGTAACATCTTCTAGGTCTCCCATGTGCGTGCAGAGGTACCAGCCCTTGGGCTGTCCTTCACTGCTTTCCCAGGCCACTAGCAAACCATTAGCCAGGACTAGAACTCCATGAGATGCCAATGTTGTATGTAGCAGTTTTTGATTTTAAGATTTATTTATTTTACAGAGAGAGGGGCAGAGCTTCCATCCACTAGCTTACTCCCCAAATGGTGCCAATAGCCAGAGTAAGGCTGATATGAAGCTGGGAGCCAGGATCCTCTTCTGGGTCTCCCATGTGGATACAGGTACTCAAGGACTTGCTCCATCCTCTGCTGTTTTCCCAGGCCTTTGGATTGGAAGTGGAGCAGCTGGGACTTGAGCTAGTGCCCATGTGGGATGCTAGCAATACAGGTGGAGGATTACCCTGCTACACTCCTCTGTCGGCCCCCATATAGCAGCCTTACTTGCCATGCCATAGTGCCATCCCCACCTGGAAATGTTTAACACTGAGTGTATGCCACTATTTAATCTGATTAATTTCCATCAAGAAGACAATGAGTACGATGCATTTTAGAAAAAATTTTATGAACACTACTTACTTGATATTGAGACTGGCAAGAAAGAATTGCAACATAAAAGATCTGCTATTTTAAAAAACATGTAACAAGCTATTACAGTTTATAAGAAAGACAAATCACCCGCTAGAAGATGGTTTTGCATGGAGTGCCCATAGGTACTACAGTTAAGATGCTTGCACCCATATTAGAATGTCTGATTTGCGCCTCCGCCCCTCCTTTCTCTCATCCAGCTTCTCTGTTAATGAGCATCCTCGCAGCAGGTGACAGCTCAAGCACTTGAGTGGCACATATGTGAGACACAGAAGAAGATCTGGACTCGTGACTTCAATCAAGCATGGCCCTGGCTATTGCAAGTACTGGGGAAGTGACTGAATGGATGGTGGATCTCTGCCTCTGCCTTTGAAATAAAATGCAAAAAAAAAAAAAGTTCACAGAGAAAAGAAACACAAATGGCTTATAAATATCCATGTCCCCTCACAATAATAGCAATGCACACCAAAACTGATTAAATACCATTTCTCTCCCTCTCTGTAACTCCATCTTTCAAATAAATAAATAAAGTAAATCTTTAAAAATAAATAAATAGGGACCAGTGAATTACATAAACCTGCAATGCTAACATCCCATACAGGTGCCGGTTCAAATCTTGGCTGCTCCACTTCCTGTTCAGCATCCTACTGATGGGACTGGGAAAGCAGCAGAAGATAGCCAAGTACTTGGACCACTGCACCCACATGGGAGACCCAGAAGATTCTGCCTCCTAGCTTTGGACTGGCCTAAGCCTGGCCAGTGTGCTCATTTGGAGAGTGAACCAGCAAATGGAAAATCTCTCTGTATGTCTGCCTTTAAAATAAGTAAATAAATAAATATGGTACTTTTATGTAGGGACATGATTATATTTTTTTGCTACTTTATTTTTATTTTTTAAAGATGTATTTATTTATTTGAAAGGCAGAGTTACAGAGACAGCGATCTTCCATCTGCTTGTACATCTGTTAAAGTGTATATTTTTCTGAGACAAGTTAAGGCATATTGAATATCAAGTTTAAACTTTCCCTCCAAAATTATAAAAAGAGCAACAACAAAAAAGGAAAAAAAAAAACAGAGCAAGATCATCTCTTCTATTCTTATTTTCTTAGTTAGTACTTAACAATGTTATAAGTCAGAGTCACTCCTTCCCAAATAACAATGTAGTTTTACATTGTCTGATTGTGAATGATAGAAAGTTATTTGTCCTGAAAATTATTTCCTGTCTGGCAAGAGGCTTAAATTTTCTATAAGTACTGTCACTCATCAGTCCTATTTTGATAATGAGGCAAAAAAAAGGTTACCTCCTTCAAATGTCTTTTCTTACCTGCTATCAGCTTCTCTGAATCAGGAAGATGTGTAAACTGTCTTTTGTATTCCTCACTTCTGTCTTTATAAGTAGAACTTGAAATCTGCAAAATAAAGAGAGTCATGGTTAACTATAATTATAATGTTATTTGAAAATAAATGTACAAAGTAATTTAAAATCAACAGTTTTCTATGCAATATTTTACAGTTGCATGAAAACCTACAAACATTTTTAGAAACACCAAAAAGAACAAAGAAGACTCCTTGCAGTGTGATGGGATGAGAAGCTTGGCAGTCCGCAAAAGCAAGTAAGTATATAGTTAGGAATAAATGGTAACAATAGTCCTCTAAAAAGATTGGAAACTGACCAAAGACATACAATATACCAGGGAGTAATGTTCACGAAAATCCGCAGAACTTGTGTAAGGATTGTGGGAGTCAGTGGCACACTCTCCTCCACCTCTACCGAGTCAGTCAGTGTGGTAGCCGTACCAATGTGGAGCAGGCTACGAAAACCAGTGACTGCTGATGAAGACGGAGAAGCTGATTTGGAGTGGAAAGCAGAACATCTCTGCTGAGAAGTGTAACAGAAAGTCTTGAAGCCAGCCAAGTGAGTGCAGGCGCAATCCTAACTGTAGTAGGCAAGGAGGCAGATTAGGAAAGGATTTAACAAAGAGTTAGACCTAATATACTCTCCACATGTTCTCAACCAAACAGAAGCTGCACAAATACATAGCAGAGACTAGAGGAAACCCAAACTATTCAATTTTCCCTGCCTAAGGATGCAAGAAGTCACAGGAGAGCATAATTAGTTAGGCAAATTTAAAAATGGCCAGAACTGGGGCCGGCGTGGGGGTAGCTCAGCAGCGGCAGTCCTCATCTTGAACGTGCTGGGATCCCATATGGATACCGGTTCTAATCCCAGCAGCCCCACTTCCCACCCAGCTCCATGCTTGTGGCCTGGGAAACCAGTTGAGGATGGCCCAAAGCCTTGGGCCCCTGCACCCGCTTGGGAGACCTAGAGGAAGTTCCTGGCTCCTGACTTTGGATCAGTGCAGGACCAGCTGCTGCGGTCACTTGGAGAGTGAATCATCGGACAGAAGATCTTCCTTTCTGTCTCTCCTCCTCTCTGTATATCTGACTTAAAAACATTTACACATAGGTGTATCAATAGACATGAAAAGCCAATTGTTCTATCTATCTGAACACATCACAGAATGATCAGTGAGGGACATAGGGTTGACTCCAAGGATACAAACCCTGAAGACAGGCACAGCAATGACAATATAAATGGAGGAGAGATGTCAGCTTGTGCATGCTACAGCACAAATAGATTTCATAGATTTACCCTAGGCAAGATATTAGCCAAATAAAAACTAGCAGCGACAGTCTTTGGAGACAGGTGCGGATGCAACCGGAATCCAGAGACACTACACTGGACTGCCCATTAATCAAACTTTTCATAAAAATTATAGGACATGTAAAAAAAAATACAGAAAATTGTGACTCATGCTGTTGCCTGTGTCACCTGAATACCATATAGAATCCACATTTTTCTTCTTAAGCATGCATGCAGCATTCTCCATAACAGACAATATACCAGCTTCTAAACTTTATAAAGAAGGACAGAAAGTAGACAAGTATATTCTCTGTGAGTAGAGTAAAACTAGCGGTCAACAAAGCAAAGATGAGAGCTCGGCTTCAAGTCATGTCAATCTTATTATTATTATTATTTTTTTATTAGAAAGTCAGGTATACAGAGAGGAAGACAAACAGAGAGGAGGATCCTCCATTCATGGATTCACTCCCCAAAAGGCCACAACAGCCAGAGCTGCCCTGATCCAAAGCCAGGAACCCAGAGTCCCTTCTGGGTCTCTCATGCAGGTGCAGGGTCTCAAGGCTTTGGGCTGTCCTTGACTGCTTTCCCAGGCCACAAGTAGGGAGCTGGATGGGAAGCGGAGCTCCCAGAACTAGAACTGGCCCCCACATGGGATCCCACGTGCAAAGCTAGGACTTTAGCCACTGAGCTACCGCATCGGGCTCCAAATCATGTCAGTTTTAAAAATAGATTGTGGTGATCACAGATTGCCTGACTGCTGTATACAAAAATCCCCTCTGGGGGGGATGTCACTCTGGGAATCAAAATGATTCTATAGAAAATGTTGAAAATAGAGAATAAAAGATAATAGACTAAGAACACGGTAAGTCTAGCACCCTTGCATTTGAAGTCCCAGGAAGGAAAACAATGAGTTAAATATAATATTTGAAGCAATAAAATTTAAAATCTTTAGATAGTTTACAATTTCTGTCCTTAAAGACCCCCATTTCTTCTTTTCTTGTAGTTCCCTAAAATCACCTTCAAAAATAACAATCTTGTTATTCTGGTACCAACACTTGCTGTGCATACTTACATATATAAATATAGTAAAAATGTAATAAACTAGCATTTTGTTGTGAAAAACCTTAACAATCTGGAATGTCTGGGTGGTTCAGTAGCTGTGGCACACTCCTTAGTCTCACAAGAAGATTTTTTAATATGAGTGTTGTTAGATTAGAATAAAAGAAAGTGATAAAGTAACATGTTACATCAGTCCAAGTAAGCAAAGTTATATCATGGTATTAAGAATGTCAGACTTTATGAAAACAATAGTCTATGTCTTACACACATTAACTAAATACTTTGGACTGACTGAAGCTCCAGGATGTCCTAATGCGGAGACAGAAATATGCTAATAAAGGATCCACTATTGGGAAACAGGGAAATGGCAAGTAACATTGCGACTCTTAAGGCCTCCTGCCTGTGCAAATGGATCAATGCCCAACTCCTGGGAATGAGTTACACATCTCCCCTCTGCTGGTCTGGCTCTTCCTTGCTTTCTTGGTCTCTCTCCTAGATGGCTTTCTGAGCTTCCCCTTCCTACTTTGGGATGATGAAGGAAGTAGGTTGTTGTGAGGTGCAGGCTACTTGACCTTGGACATTATAGCTCCCACAACTACAAAGTGAGCATGCTGGAGCTATGGCTCCACTGGGATGCACACAATCCATGTTAGAGTGTCTGGGTTTAGGTCCTGGCTCCATTTGCTACTTCAGTACCAGTTAATGCACACCCAGGAAGGGATCAGATGATAGATCAAATTTTCGGGTCCCTGTGATGCATCAGGAAATCTGGATGGAGTTCCAGACCCCTGGTTTTGGCCCAGGCCCTATTGCTGTGGGCATCTGGGGACTGAATCAGCTGATGAGGATCTGATGTTCTCTGTCTTGATCTCTCTCTCTTAAACATATAAAATCAAACAATTTTCTTAATGATGTATTGATTCTGAGACTGGGCCTACCCAGAGTAATATTGACCCCGCACGCCCAGCAGGAGCAGTGGGCGACTTCAGAGGGGACCTGCACAGGGTCTTCTTGTCTCTGCACACCCAGAGGCAGCAGAAGTAACTCGAGATTGTGTGGCCTGGGAGACAGTGGCACCAGGCAAAGTCTTCAGGCTGCTTCAGCGGACTTGGGCATGTGGGCTTACATGGAATATGGCACAAATGATATCAAGCGGGGACCTGAGGATTCATGTCCAGGTGAGTAATGACTAGTGAGGGACATCCATGGACTAGGCCACTGTATTTGCAGGCATGCAAGGGTGCTGAGACTGAGAAGTTTGCAGGTGGGAACAGGAAGACCTCGAAAGGTCAGACTGAAGTACCAGCACATGTGGGAGGGGCCTGAGTTGGACTAGTTAGCAGCAACCATCACTGAATACCACTCACTAAGAGCTGGGGGATTAGCTGCCTTGGCTAGATCATGGTACTCACCAGTGAGAGTCAGAATGGGCTGGGCTAGATCTCGGCTCCCACTGAACCACACAAGAGCTGTATCTGGGAATGAACCATGTATGACTGTGTTGTAACACCCATAGGTAAAAACCAGAATGGGTGTTGGCTGGTTGGACAAGGATACTGTTCTTGCCACAAAGTCAACCTGGCCCAAGGACACACCAGAGTGTGCCACTGGGAGGAGATCCAATAGAGGAGCTCGGGGAACTCCTTTGTCAGGCCGCAGTCCCTGCAGGTGAGCACAAGAACCAAGCCTGCAGCAGCCCAGAAAATGCCAGGTTATAGTACCCACCGGCATACATGTGGGTCAGGTCTGAGAGTGGGCCAGGCTACTGGCAGATCTGAGAACCAGGATGGGGTGCAGGACAGGCTGGGTCGGGCCACAATGCCAACCAGTTCACATTAGGGCTGAGACTTGGGGGTGGCTGGACTGCAGTTGGCTGCAGCACCCACCAGCATGAGCTGGAACTGGGGATAGGTTAGACAGAGTCAAGTTGAAGCACCCACTTGTGGATGCTGAAGTGACACAAGGCATGCCAATCTGACCATGGTGGGTGCTAGGTCCATGAATGCTGGGGGTGGGAGGTTCGGCAGGGCCTGGGTCACCTGACCTGAGTGGTGGTTGACAAGTCCATGAGCTTCAGGGTCCAGGATTCCAGCAGGGCCCAGATGACCTGGCCCAGGTCCTTGAGTCTGCCTGTGCAGTGAGTGCCACATCTGAACCCCAGTGGTGAGGAGTCCAGTGGGGCCAGGTCCTTAGGCCTGCCTGCAAGGGCTTAACCTCCTTAATGGAGGAAATGGAACAGAGGATGGCAGACCTGGATACACATGGAGGAGATGGCAGTCCACTGGAGCCTGCAAAGGACATCTCATGCCATGGCAGAGGAAGAACAGAACAAACTAGACATCTACCCCAGCCAAACAATGATGTAAAAAATTAGGGCAAATAGAGACTCTAAGGTCGACCGCGTCAGTCGATGGACATTAGAAGAGTTCCCTCATCCTTTGATTGGCAAGATCGACAGCCTTTCAGAACTATCAAAACCACTTGGGCAGAACTCTTGAACCATGCACCACATCAGGACCCTGGGTTGATATTAAGTGGTCATTTCCAATCCAGGGTATTGGGACAGATGGGAGGCTGGGTATGGCTTCTGCCATTGTCTCCTCACTGCCCCCAGATACGGGAAGAAGAAATGGAAAAAGTGAAAACAATGATCACATTCATTTTCCCCTAAATCCTCAATCCTTTCCACCTTGATCAACAATGTAATCATTAAAACTAAAATTTTTT